TTCAATAGTACCCTGTTGTATATGTGTGTGTGTGTGTGTGTGTGTGTGTGTGTGTGTATGTATGTGTATGTATGTATGTGTATATATATATATATATATATTTAAAATGCAGTTAGGGAGCTACCAAAAAGCTGTCATTGGTACAATCAGTTTGCAAAAATCAGCAGTGGATTGGCCCAGACAGCTCTGAAATGCTCTTTTGATGCTAAATAGTGGAAATGCTTTCTTCTTCGCCAAAGTAAAATGTCCATTTCTTCTGCTTGGCAGCTTTCTAGTGTCAGCATACAGCACAAAGATCCAAACTTATTACAGTACAAAGAATACACAAGGGCCGGTTTATGTAAAGGCATCAGTATCACGTGGTGAAACTTTTTCTGGATGATTCCACTTCAGTTTGCAAGTGGGGGAAGGCAATACAACTGAAGGATTTCCCCCTTTGTAAATAACATTATCTTCAATTGGCACAAGGATGGGTAATATGTGGCTTTCCCGGTGCTGCTGAACTCCAATTCTCATCAGCCCTAGCCAGCAGAGCCAATGGGGAGACACAAAGGGACCTGAAGCTTAAGAGCATCTGGAAGAACCACAGGATTTCCACCAATAAATGAGCACAATAGGAAGAAAGCAAGTATAGTAAATCCTCTGTTTAATGGATCTCAAATGCAATGGACAAAATAGGTTGGATCTGGATTTTTGTCTGAATTTCAGGCAATATTAGAATTTATCCCAGACAATGGATTGAGTCAGCTCAGGCAATGTTTGCTGCTTCTGCACATGCATAATGTTTTTTTTCCTGCATATTTGTAATAAAATAGTTACCTAATCAGTTAGTGGCTATCTCAAACTCTTTCACAAGAGTTGGCACTTGGGCAACTGTATTTTGTAAGAAAAGGTATAAATATTTATACTTTTAGATAAAGCCTTTACCTATGGCTTCATAGGTAAAAGCAAGACTGAGCACTTATTATTATTGTTATTATAGTAATGTCATGTATGGGCACATTTTGGGCTTGAACAATCCCATTCAGCTTTCATAGATACCCCTTTCTCCTGCCCTGACCCCTATCCATTAAATCAAGGGTTTACTAAACAAATGTTTTTTCTAGGCACAGCCACTTTTTGCTTTCAAGGAGCTTTCTCTCACACACAAGCCCAATGTTTTACCACTTGATCCTGATAATTGCATAAACTGGCCCTGGAAACAAGAGGTAAAAATCAAAGAGAAAACATCTCTTTCTGGTACACTCACTAAGCCTTCCAAGCACGCAGCTAGATCTTTCCAAGTTGTGGGTTTCCACAGCATTATCTTCAGTTGGGATTCAGATGACAATCTTTCAGCACTGAATCTATTGGTGGCCATTTCTAAGCAGTTTTTAAGCAGATCCAATCTTTGTAGATGTAAATAAATGAATGCGAAAGGCCTGAAGTTCCAAGTTCCCCCTCCCCTTGAAAATGTCCACTGAACAGAAAAGAGAAGGGGTCAGTCAGCCAACCTGCGCAAGCGCCTCTGCATAAGGAGCATACTGATTTCCTTCACTATCAAAGGCATGATGAACACCACCGTTAAACTGGTCTGCAAAAAGAAAGATACCAAGGACTTGAAACAGATGCACAATGTGGTTCAATGCAAGTATGGCCCTAGTTCTAGAGGTTATCAAACACACTACATAGAGGCAGATCCATATTTGCCATCACATGTACACTTACAGGGACACAGGGAGCTGCTTTATACCTGATCAGTCTATTTGTCCATATGGCCCAATATTACTTGTTTTGATGGCAGCAGCCATGAAGGAGCATGGCAGATGTTGCCTATCATCTATCTCAGGGTTCCTCAACCATGGCAACTTTAAGATGGGTGGACTTCAACTCCCAGAATTCCCCAGCCAGCCTTATTACAGTCTACCCGTCTTACAGTTGCCAAGGTTGAGGAACCCTGATCTATCTGATCCATTTTCTACTGAAGGCACAGAAGTGTGGCCAAAATCAGTTCTGCTTCAGAGTAAATATGAAGTGCCTAGAAGCCATCCTATGCCTTCTCCGATTTGACAAGACAACAGCATGGTTTCTGCAACTTCCCCCGGATGGTGGAAGGCATGCACTAGTCAAACTACTATCATCCTGCATGAAGAAGCAGTTAATATAAGGACAGGGGGCTTCACCAATTAAGACCCACACCTATGTTCACTGAATGCCAGGGCAAGCAAGAACTGCATCTGGCTCCAGACTGGATTCAATTCCCCACCCCTACTTTAACTGATGCCATTTCCCACAAATGCAGAGCTATATATCTTTCTGGTGAATTAACTTCTTTGATATTCCCACTTCACATTTTTAGGTCAGCTTTCCCAGTCCAGATATGTGGACTTCAACTCAAAGAATGGCCCAGCTAGCATGTGGCTATTGCTGAGAATTCTGATAGCTGAAGTCCATGCTTGGAGGGCATCCACACTAAGGGAGGCTGTTTTAGCTGCGCTTAGAGATTTTATAGTACAATCCTATATGCATTTACTCAGGGATCTAAGTAGCCTACTCCCTTGAAATGTGTTTGGGCCTGCAGCATTACTGGGTGGCACAGTCTTCAAATACAGTCTGTTGAGAGGGCAAACCAACTGCAAACTGATAATTACTCCCATTATCAATTAGGACCCAGATCAAACCCCAGGGTACCATCTCAATTTCAAATGAGGACTATTTCATGTTGAATAGGCTGCAATCTATGTGTTACAATGTGTGACAGTTGCTGTTTTTGTCAGTCAGATTCATTCATACAAATGCTATCTCATGTGAAGTTGAGGAGATACAATCCTTGCAAAATAAAAAGGCAAGAAAGTTAAAATAAATTGAAAATATATTGAAAACTTTTCTAATAGTTGACTATCCTTCCTTCTTCTTTGGATGAAATTAAGCTACGTGCTTAAACTATGTGTTCATTCTCCTTATTTTAAATATTTAAATATTCACCTACATCTGTTTCCCTCAAGAAACACCATCACCAGCTGCATGGGAGCCAAGGGACTGAACACGGGGTTGCACTACTCCAGACAGACCCATACATAATCTGGGGGTCCTCCTAGACTCACGACTCCTGTAACTGACGTTTCATGTTGTGCGTCAGTTATTCCCCTTCCTGGATCGGGGGGCTCTCTGCATGGTCACTCATGCTCTGATCACCTCCCAGTTGGATTACTGCAATGTGCTCTAAATGGGGCTACCCTTGAAGAGTATCTGGAAGCTACAGCTGGCACAAAATGCAGCGGTGCAGACAGTTCTGAATGCCCCCGGGGGGCACATATAACACTTCTGTTACATGAACTGCATTGGTTGCCAGTTTGCTTCCGGGTCCAGTTCAGGGTGTTGGTTATTACCTTTAAAGCCCTTCATGGTGCAGGACCAGGTTATCTGAGGAGTCATCTCGCCCCCATTATATCAGCCCGCCCCACTCGGTCTGGCAGAAGGGGCATGATGTGGACCTCACCAGCCAAGGAATTTCAACTGGCGGGGTCTAAGAAGAGGGCCTTTTCTGCTGTGGCCCCCGCTTTGTGGAATAATTTACCACCTGAGGTGCAGTGTACCCCCAACCACTCTTCAGGAAGAGTGTGAAATCTCGGCTATGCCAGATGGCCTGGGGGCCTGATGTGGGCTTGCATCGTTGAAATTGGTTTGTGGGGTAATTGATTCTGCCCCCCACCCCCGTCATCTTGAATTTTATAGTCTTTTTATGTATATAGTCTTTTTATATAGTATGATTTTTTTAAGCTAATTTAATGTGGATATTTATATTTTTTTTACTGTTTTTGATGTTTGATTTTAACTGTCAGCTGCCCAGAGTCACTCCCTGGGAGAGATGGGAAGCATATAAATTTAATTAATAAATAAACACCACCCAGCCATTAGTACTTCAACAGCGAAAAGACTGAGCCATCAATCAAGATATCCTTTATTTGACTCTTACCTTTGCCCTTATCTCATTGGGGCCACAATCCTACACACATACATACATACATACACACACACACACACACTTACTTACTTAGAAGAAACTCCCATTGGCCTAAATGAGATAATGTATAGTATTGTATTCTAGCACTGCAGTTTATCATAATGCTAAGCCTGGAGTTTTAACCTGCTTGCTTAACAAATTCCTATCGGTATTTGTTTTTCTTTTTGTTTCTCGGAAGGGAGGGGTGTAATCTAAAATTTTAAAAAATAACATCTTCTTACCATCAGAATGAAGAAGTAGAAAACTTGCATCCATCCCAACTTCTCCTGGATCAAAGATACCAAGTACTAAAAGGAAAGGAAGCACCGTGAGTCTAGGTCCTTAAAGTAATACATAATGTAGATTGATTTTTATTCTTCTATCAATCTGTCTATGCATACACATGTCTATATATATGTAGACATATATACAGATATAGATATGTATACAAGGACACACACACAGACCCCTTATGTACACATTTCCCCTGCCCTCCCCCTTGTCTAAGTAATTTTTCAATATTAGACAAAACTTCACACACATTTCTTTTCAGAGATGGACTAATGCAAGCTCTACTCCATCACATCTGAAGCACAGTAGATAGGAGAAAACTGGCACCACAAATCTAAATCTTTATGAGAATATCAAACAGCATGTCTTATAATCATCGAAGCAGGAGAAATGTTCTCCTTCTCCTGAAAGTCCCTTTAAAAAGCTAAGCACCAGAAATGATATAGTGGCAGAGATTGCAAGCCTCTCCAGAGATTGAAGCTACTAAAGAATCCCACATTTCTTCTCCCCAAGGCTGAACCTATCAGTGAGAGAAGCAGGGCAGAGACTGACAAGGAGGCCCAAGAGAGAAAGTGGTCCTTAAGGTGCTCCAGCCAGGAACTGGTGAGATTTTTAAAGGAAAAGCAGTTAGGCTTTGACTGCAATGCTGCTTTGATTTTAATATCTGATGGATAGATGTTCTGCTGCTGAGGTCTGCACATTTCACAAGGTTTATTATTTTATTACATTATGTTTTATTGGGTTTTTATTGTGGCAGACTCCCGTGGGACAGCTTCTGCCCTTCAAAGGTGGCCTAGCAAAACAACAAATAAACTGTTCCATCTAAGTCCAACGCTGCCTTCTTCAACTTCCGTGGGGTCGGAGCAGTGATCTCACACCAGGAGCCTTTTCCAAATGCTGCCTCCTTTAATGAGAGACTGACATCGCCACCCTTTGGGGAAGTGCTGCTCACTCCCTATGCTATCTCCACACTCCAAATTTCTTTTTAATTAAAAAAGAGAGAGGGGCACATAAAATAGCACAAATGAAATCAGCGGGGGGGGGGAACTTTGCATAACTACTGACTGGAATCACACAGCCTCTAAATTATATAAATAATTTGGTACTAAATCTGAATGGCTGAAAGAGAGGGGCTGAGACACCAAGAGTTAAAAATGACAAATTTAAAGGGCTAGCAGCCTCAACAGGCTAGACAGTTGCACAGTAGACAAACTAGATCAAAACACAGTCATGTTTACTTTTGCATGGAAATTTTACTTGGGATATTTTTCTGCGTAATGTTTCTGCTTTCATCCCCCTCCATACATCACATCCAATGGTTCTGGTGAGATTTTGCCCCAAAGGGCACCCATTTCAACCACTTCCTCCTTGGCACATTTATGACTCGCATGCTATATTCTTTAAGGCTCTCCTTTTTCTGACAAGTTCAACATATTCCTGATGCTTACTTCCCACTAGGGGAGACAACCCAGTTTGTGGAATCTCAGCTGGTTGCTATGGTGATACACTGTCACAGATAACAGCAATCTTAGGTAGAGAAGGAAGTAGAGGATACAATTTGTCAGACACAAAGCCCTCATGAATAAAGGAAGTTCAAAAAATTGGAGAATGGCAATGGCTAGGTATAATGAATTCTAGAGAAGGTACGCCATTGTTATCTTCACACAATGGCCAGCCTCATAGCTTTGAAAAGCACCGTGTTGCTTCCAGGTCATGAGGCAAAGGATTCATAATTTCTTAGAGCAAAACCATTCCAGAGTCAGCAGAAAGGCAAGAGGAATTCCACTTTGCTATGCTCCCCCAAATCAATATCGCCATTACATTGTTGTAACGTTCCCCAAAGCCAGTGCTTAACAACAATACCATTTCCAGCACTTTTCTGTAGAAGTCAACACCTTTGCCAAAACATTAACTGCATTCCCGCATCATGCTCACATTGCTTCCAAGTTAGTCCTGTATTTCCTTGTGTAAAACCCTACAACAAGAAATGAGGAGAAGGGATGCTGTGTTGCAGACCTGACACTGGGTAAGACAAAACAAACCTAAAGAATCTAGTCTAGTCTAAAAGCCCCCAGAGGAGACTAACTTGTAACCATTAATACATATCTGTTGTTTACTCATAAAAAGAGCTAGTGAGAGAATGGACTTTGTCCATCCTCTGACAACAGTTCTTATGAAGCACTTTGCAGGTGAGCAATGCAGCAGGCTAGCCATGTAGGTAAACAGCCCTACACCAGCCCATCTGAGTTCTCTGAAGGCACCTGATTAAAAAAGCAAAGTTGATACATTGTGAAGATGCTGAGATAAAGCATTTTCACAAGAATGACCATGCCCCAATTGAGATGTCAGCTGGATACAGCAAATAAGGCAATCAATAAAAATAAATAAGGATTGTTTTTATTTGTTTATTTACATATTTATTCATTTCCTGCTATTTATAGCCCACCCCATTCTCAAGACTTGCTTGGCCATTGTAGAAAACTACATCAAAAGTGGGACGGAGGACCTGGGCCTGCTTATAGCAGCGGGTTACCATTCTACACAGGGAGTGGAGAACACCCTGATCTTTTTCACAAAGCACTACCAAATCACAGGGGGACTTGCTTGTCCTTGATTTAGTGTTATGTGTGAACTCAAGCATTAGGGTTTTATATTTTGCATGAAGCAGGCCACTTATTAAATAGACCATATGTTTTCAAAAAAGTGGCTTCATTTCCTATTTGTTTGATAGAAATATGACCTGTGAATTGTGTCATCTTACATTTGCTAAGACGCTATTAAAACAAATGAGAACTGGCTGCAGACATCACTGCTGAAAAATTGATATCTTTAATCTGGGGAGAGGCTGGTTAATTTTAATTCTATTTATAATATTTAAATATGGCTTCCTTCCCTGTCTTGTTACATCTTTCCCTTATCTCTCCATAAAGTGTTATTCTTCCTTTTCCCCACCTTCCCAACATAGTTACTAATTGTTCTTTTGTCCTGGTTTTTTTTCAAGTTCTGCTTTTGCTATTTCTGCTAGTGCATCCCATCTTGCATAAACAGGGAGTGGTGCTCCCTTCTATGTCTCGGACACAGGAATGAATAAGGCAAGCAACAATCATAGAAATAAAGTAGAAAGTGGAATGATTTATACCTCTATCTTCCTGGACAGCAATTGTGCTAGACATGCAAGTAAAGTACAATTTACATGCACAGGATAACATGCAAAGTTGGCTTCCTTGTGCATCGTCCTCCCCATCTCACAATCACACACACACACACACCCTTAGTAGGCTGGGAAGGGAAATATCAATTGCCATAGGAAAGACCCACTGAACAGCAGGCTTTCAAAAATATGAGTTAACAGCACCACAAAATCCACTCTTCGTGTAAAAAAGTTAGCAGGGGATCAGGACTGGAATTTGACTGCAGCAGTTTGAGTATCCTCTGGATACACTGAAGGCGTATGAGAGTCACCCATGTGCTCTATTGAATGCATGCTTCCACAGGCATAAAGGAACCCAATCACTGAAATCACGAGATGCAATGCACATCTGTCAGCACTACCAACATCATATGAAAAAAGGATTCCATATTTCAACATTTGGTGCCCGTTCCATTTACTATTTTTAAAACTGCCTTTATTTCTCTAAACTGCCATTAGAAGGATTTTGTAAGATTTTGAAATATACTTTCCTTTTTGATGTTTACCATTTGTTGTTTTACAACTTTTCTTCTTCTTCTTCCAGGATTTATACAGCCATTTACCAACAACATACTTGGGCGGCTTATAAGAGAAGCACTGACGTACAACTAATAACTACAAATATTTGAAAAGCTCTATTAAAAGGAGCATATAATTTTCCATCCTGGCAAAGAACAGTAACATGATTTCAAGGCAGAGCCTATACCGAGAGCCCAGATTTCATCTGTTTAAAATCCAAGTTGCTTAAAAGTCCTGGCCCTGAAAAAATGGGACAGAACGTAATACAAAGACGTCCAGAGGATGCCATTGATGAGAAAGAATTCTTGAACCTACATCACCCTTTTATCTGGGTGGCTCCAGAGAACACTACCTGGGAATTCCAGGAGAGACGGCTACCTGCACAAGCAGAGCAGAAAACATTCTGGAGGGAATAATGTGCCCAGTCAGCTGTGACCACTAGCACACATTTATTTCCTTAGCTTTCTTGGCCCTTTTACAACACATCCATAATTATTTGCAGCATTCTGAGGACCTTAAATTGGAGAATGGCAAATCTTTGGCCAGGGGATCATGGCCAGGGATGTAAGGCGAACAATGATCCATTGATGAAATAAGAACTCTCTCCACGTGAATATCTTCTCCATAACACGCACTTAGGTCAATTTCAGAGCCTATTCAAATGCAGAAGATAGGGATAGAGCCGTTTTAGTTGTGGCACCACAGCAGTGCGGAATGCTCTTCTGAACAAGACTACAAAAGCATGGGCTCTTCTGTAAAGTAGGCTGCAGAGGACCTGTGTGAAGGTGGTCTGAAGCATCCTCACTGCTCTATTCTCCTTCTGCTTTCCAACAGATTTACTGTATATTTCAATCTATTATGTGTTGCAGTGTTTTTAGACAGGAAACATGGGGTGACTAACAGCAAAGTAAAGTTAGAAGGCAGGGTGAACAGATTTCCATTCTCTTGCATAACACTTGAGCTTTAAGGGAATACTAGAATTTTTTTTCCAAAGAATTTTGGGAAAAGGGAAAAGTAATTTCAAGTTTATTTCATTTACAATTGCAACAACTGTGCCAGATGATAAGAACAGTCTTGCTACATCTAGTTAGTCCAGCATTGTTCTTGATAGTCCCCACCTATATCCTTACTGGGACAGCAAACTGCTTCTGTTTCTATTAATTTCCAGCAACTGTCAGTGAGAAGCAAAAGAGTCTGGTGGCGACACGGAGCCATCATGTCTAGTCCTAATGATGGTCTTATTATCTAGGAATTCTTATATAACCATCTCACTGGGGGCTCATCACTACAATTTAACTTTATAGCATGAAGAACTTCCTTTTATTGGTTCTATGTTTCCCACTCTTCAGCTTCACTGGATGGTCCCTGGTTTATTATGCAGAAAAATCATTTTATAAAACTTTATCAGGCCTCCTATCACTCACTTTTCTGAACTAAAGTTTCCAGATAAGTCACGTTTTCTCTTAGGGGAATTGCTCATCTAGGTTGCCCTTTTTTCCTTATCTTTTCTGAGATGTAACAAATATTACCATCAATGCATGCTTTGGTGAAATGTTGCTGAAAAGAAAAACCTGCCAGATCTCAAATTTTCAAGAAACCAAACCTGCGCTTTAAAGATTGCATGGTATCAGTTCCTTCATTGCAATAATGGTCCTGATTGCTTTCCAGATCGGTCTCACCTGACCCACAGCAGCTCCAATACTCCCGGTGCCATCCACAATCCCCGTCACAGTTGCAAGAGCCTCACTACTTCCTTTTATCACTTCCTGATGCCCCAGGTCTGCAGAAATGGCAGAGCTGATCATGTTGGAAGGGCCTCCAATGAAAAAGCCTACAAAATATCAAAAGGAGATTGCAGCCAAGAATGAGAACACAGATGAGGTGGACTCTGTTTCCAATACAAAGCAAGATGATCTTAATCTGAACCTGCAACACTGCCACTTAGCCAGAGGAAGCTATCGAAGAGCCAGGCCATGTATGCATCCAAACATCGGTGCAAATAGTTGAAGTGTGCTGATTTAGTCCACAATCATTATGTTCAGCAAGATGTAAAGGTCTAGTCTATTACCTATTCGAGAATCTTGCTCGCACCTTTCTCATCACTAAGTTTTCGTGGACTAGTGTCCCCTTAATAAATGGCAAATATATATGCGCATATGTGTTTGCCCCCCTCCCCCAAAGGCTGCTGATTGTCAACTTCTGAAAGAAAGAAAAACAAAATTTACAGTATTTCCTGATTGCTATGGCAGAAGAGTCTTGTAACACACTAGACACTAAGTGATTGCTTCTTATTTATTTATTTATTTATTTAATTTATTTATTTATTTTCAAATTTGTATGTTGCAGCAAACCACAATTTAATTACTGAATAACCCACTGGGTTATAGAACATGCTAAGTTATAAACCTGCTAGGTTATAAATAACAGTGGTTGGGTTCACGTAACACACCAAGCCAAGATCAACAAACCAGGTTATGGCTTGACAAAACATTTGAACAAACCAAGATATGACATTATGAAAACAGAACTTCTTTAGTGTCCCTCCAAACATTTTACCTGTAATTGCCATGATAACCGCATTGATAGGTTTGCTATTTGGGGAACCTACAGAAACAAAGAAAAGAAAAGGTCATAATTCTCTTTGCTGCAGATAAAAAGGTCAGGAAGAGATGAACACTGATCTTAAAAGACTTTGTCCAGGTTTATGTGCTTGCATGATGCATTAACAGTGCCTTAATCTTCTGCTTGAATACAGTGTTTCTTAAATTATGCCTTCACTGATGGTTAAGTTTGTTTCTCTCTCAAAACCAGGTGAACTCTGCAACAAACAGAAAGATGAGGAAGGCAAGAGGAGTTTTGTGCCTGCTGTATTCAGTTAAGGCCATCGTTGAATTGCTGGAGTAATTTTGGATCAATAAAACTTTGATTTGTTTGAATCTCCCTGAACTGGAATAGAACATTTAGCAAGGCAGCCAAGAACATTGGACTGAAAGGACCTTAGCCTCTCATAGCTGAACCTACAAAACTGAAGGGAACTGTTTGTTCCCAACCTTTCTGAAAGCAACAATTCAGCAAAAGTGTTTTGCCAAGGACTGATCTAATCAAGCAATATGGCCAAGAGTGAGTTAGAGAAGCTGCTTATGACAAGGTAGAAGAATATTTTAACATCCACATCAGAAAAAGCAGTTGAGAGAGACTCTCTATGAAATCTCTGAGATACGTTATTTCAAAATTATAACCAAGCATTGCTTTGCTCAATGCTCTAACCCAGAAAGGGGCAAATCAGAAGAAACAAACTGAGAAAAGGGCAACTTCCAGAAGCTCACTTCTAGAAATAGATTATAGGGAGCCAGCAAAATGGTAGAAGCAAGGAATTTCAACTAATGCTTATGAGACTCCAACACCTTAATTACCTAACAGCTCAGCAGTAGCAATATCACTATTCTCACTTGTCCCCATCCCACAGCTTTAGAAGAAATGGGCTGAACACAGGCAGTGCTCAAATAAACGTACATCTGCACAAGTGCAGATAGCTCCCTCTACTGGCAAAGAACATTCTCCTTTTCTTGTTCCCTCGAAACACACAATGGAACACTCAATTTGTGGGCCTCAAAGAAGCACCTGGCTGACCACTAACGGAAGCAGGATATTGGCTGCAGAGAGTCTTACCTGTCCAGCTTGTTGAGCAAGGTTCTTGTCATTTTTTTTAAGGTAATCAAGAATGCTATCTCTTATTAAACTCAAAAGCACAGTTGATTGCAACCCATTTCAACTGCTGCTTTAATAAAGAAAAGAGGGCCACCCTATGTTTAGAGCATAAGAAAAGGAGGCTAGACACACGCTCATGCTACAAAACCTGTCTATTGTGCAGGAAAGTACTCACGGCTGTATCCAAAGAGAGATGCAATAGCCAAGATGAGGCTAACAGCTAATACAGGAGCTCTTTTTTGTAGCACATCAGAGATAAAACCTTGGATGGTACCACCTGTAGAAATAAAAGGAATGCAGTCCTTTTTGGTTAGGTACACTAAAAACAGCCTACCATAACAGATCATAATCACTATAAGCAAAAAACACACACCCTAAACCAAGGATCAGAGTTTATTGCTTTAAAGCACAATTGGCTATAAAATTAGATGTAACATTTTTATACATCATCTTGACTGGGGGATTCTCCAGCCACTATTCTACACCATAATTTTCCAATGTTGGTGTTCTCCATATGTGGGGACTTAAAACTCCAGACGGCCTGCCAGCAACACCACTGCTAAGAATTCTGGGAGTTGAAGTTAGGAGAGCGCCCAAGTGTGGGAAAGCTGCTGTAGGCAACTTGACATCCTCCAGATCCTTTGGGCCACATCACCCATAATAACTTTGCCTGCCAGTAGCTATTTAATAGGTAGACAAGCGGCTAATTCAAACTAGAATTCCCACCCACAACTTGCCCTACCACATCCTGTTCTAATCTCACGAGGAACAGAAAATGAAATATAACAACAAAAATAGATTGTCTTTTGCCTCATAGTCATACCTATAATGCCTCCAACATCATACCAGATTGAGAGCTTGTCAGCTTCTGCCTCCTTCCAACCAAAATTGTTGCTGAGGTAGAAAGGCAACCAAAAGAAGAAGGAGTAGTTTACCAGCTTCAGGCAAGCATAGGCCAAGGAATACTGAAACAAATAAATACCGCCCCCATCCCCAAAGAAAAGCTATTAGAATTGAAATAATCCAAGCTGAGCCAGCATGGCCCTGTAATTCCATAACACATAGATTGTCAGATCTTGAATGGAAAAACCTGACCCTAATCCATTAGGAAACACGCTGGGTGAACTGGAGGCAGTTACGGCCTCTCAGTCTAACCTACTGCACCACTGTGAGAAAAAAATAGGAAGCACTGCCCGGTCTTCTCTGTGAATTTCAGAATTAGTGATGCTGTCTCCTCACAAGGTCTGTACAGCATTATTTAGTATTGACTAGGTCAGTGTTTCTCAATCTCGGCAGCTTTAAGATGTATGGACAACTCACAGAATTCTGATTGGGGAATTGTGAGAGCTGAAGACCACACACCTTAAAGTTGCTGAGACTGAGAAATACTGCACTGGGTAAATTTTAGAGGCAGGTAGACATTTCTGGAAGTCTGACAGTATGTAATGGCATTCTCATGGGTGATGTGTGCACAGCCAGTTACAAACCACACACTGGCAAGAAAGCAAACTAATTAAGTTGCTCCTCACCACCCCAAGATGTTGTCTACCACTTCACTTACTTCTGTCTTTTTTTCTGGGCAGGTTGGCACATTCCTAAACTACGAATTGGGCTGCAGCCATCCACTGTTTCATTTTCTTGGATTGCCCTTTGGGCTATGTGGGCTCTAGAGGTATTCCTAGAAATAAAAATGACGCTTTGGAGCATGCCAGCTTCTTTCTTTCTTTAATTAAAATATCTTAACTAAAAACGTTAGAGGGGAAAAAGACACCAGGGTGCACCAAGGAAGGTGCTCCTAGGAATACTGGTGCCTGCAGATACCACGCTACCTCGTCTGCTAGTAAAAATATATCACTGTAAGGTGATGATAACATCCTTACCAATATGACACCAGGTAGACAACAAGCCTGAAAAAATCCAATGGCCTGGGATGGGGTCTCTGTACGACTGCTTAAGTTTGAAGCCTGAATGGAGTAATTCTGATCATCAAAATCTTCATTCTCATTGCTACCAATTAATGGCTCACTGGCATCTTCCTCAGCAGCATCACCATCACCTTCTTTGCCAACTTCAGGGAGGCCTAGGAGAAAGCACAGAAATGCAACTTAAAAACAAAGGAAGGGAGAATCCCCTCCCGCTGCGCTTGCTCCTTCAAGCTGTTGTTCCTCCCTTCTGATACAGCTCCCTTGCTCTCTCCCATACTTCGGCCCTCCTTTGGCTTAGAAACGCTTCTAGATGGTGCTCTGCAGAATCGCCAGTCTTCTAGTGCTCTCGAAAGAATCCTGTCTGATCCTGATGTTGACTCTGTCTGCTGTGGGTGTCTGGCTATTAGTTGGAAGACGCAACAAATTAGCGCATTCCCTGTTGGGTTGGAGTCAGACTTCTCCAACTGCAAGGCTGGTATCACTACTTGCAGTGCAGGCTGGATTTCAAAGCTAGGGTGGTTAACTCTACCAGCTGCAGTTCTAATGGGGAGATGGGGCTGGAAGAAAGATGCCCCATAATAGGCTTGTACAATCCAGTTGCAGCATCTGAACAAATTAGCTCTTTGCAACTTTTTCAGCTTCCTCTGCAAGCATAAATATATAAGGGTGTATATATCCCCTTAAGACACCATCACTGAACTTGCCAGGTCCTAACACTGAAAGGTTTTTTAGTAATCACAAAGAGAAGCAGACTGAAATAATGTAAACATCCTGTTTTTATACCTCACTAGCAGTCACTCCAGCTAGTTGCATCTGAGTGGCAAGAGGTAAACAACGAAGTCCTCTTCTCAAGCTTAGGTGGAATCAGCTGCTCTTTGGCTCTTCCGTTCCAGAGCTACCTCCCTTTATAAAGACTGGGATCGAGACAGGCAACACTGCAAGGATCCCTCCTTCAGTCCAGCTGGCACCAACTACATGGCACTCTCTGGCTCACAGAATGCTCTTTCCAACTGGCCATTGGACAATCTGATTGTGCAAGAGTATGACAATTGTCTCCTTCCCACTTAATCTCTTTTTTTCACATTTCTTCAGATGTGAGATATCTGAGAACGTATAAACCACCTTTTTTTTATGTATACAGAAGATGGCATGTATAACCCCACACCCTGAATTCACCGCAGAGACCTGCACGCCAGCAAATCCATAGAGACTCCCTTGCAGCAGGATGGAAATCCCATCCCTATCAGCTGTGTTCAGTGTTTCCTGTTGTCTCAGCCCACAAGCAGCACTTGCCAAAACGTTTCAGGCTTTGCAGCTCAAAGGCATAGAGCCCACTTTAAAGTGCTTCCCGGCCTCATCTGCCTCCTGAAGGTATTATGAGCAGAAAATGAACCCTAAGAAAGCCGCTCTGAAGAACAGAATTCAGGTGTGATAAACATGAAGCCACTTTGAAGTTGTCTACAGGGCCACAGCCACTCCATTAAAAATTGGTTCTCTAGTGTAAGTCATCGGCCTGGTTTCAGATGTTACGTTCCAAATGGTCCTTGCAGTGGGGTCTTAACAGGGCCTGACTTGGGTATGTACACAGCCTCAGAAGCCATAACCTTCACTTTAAGCCTGCCAGGGGGCTAACTGATTATACATGGCTAGATATTATTTTTATTCTGCTCCTCAATTGAAGAAGGTCCTGGAATCTCCAAAAATAAACAGTAGTATGACAGATACAACATAAAAAGGGGAAGGAAAAGCACAGGGAGGGAGGAAAAAACCATCTCAGGCACTGGTTCTAAATTCCAAACTTCTTAAAACAACTGCCTCCTGGAGGTATAGCTCATGGAGGAGGAGGAGGAGGAGGAGGAGGAGTCAAAGAAAGCTGGTCTCTCACTAGAACCAATGAACTGGCCCTGCTCCTTTCTCCTTCCCTTGGCTGAGCCTGATGAAATGGCTGCCAATTAAACCAACGATGAAGGAGTTAGCTTCTTAGGTCCTGCTTCTCTTCTCTCTGTCTGATTCAGTGGGGCCCTGTTACACCACAATCACAGTGACCAACTTCAAAGGCAGTTATGGCAAAAGCCTTTTACAGTTAATGCAATGGCATCTACAGCAGACTCTGAAGATATCAAAATGACCACATGTATGCTGTCGTCATCAGACGGCACCATACATGTGGTCATTTTGATATCTTCAGAGTCTGCTGTAGATGCCACCATTACGGATTTGCATCCTGGTATCTCACGTACATATATAAATCACTGCATTTGTATGATGACATTGTAAAGCATGCATTGTCATTGGCTCCCTTCCTCACACCACCAATACGCCCATGGCGGAAGGATGCTTCCTCAAATGAGCCTGAGTTCAGAAATCCTCAACAAAAGCTCTTTTTGTACGCCAAGGTCACAAGTAGGAAGACCTGCCAGAGTGACTGGTCTCTGTGGCTGCCCCCCAACTTTGGAATTCCCAGCAAAAAGAAAAGTAGCATGTCCCCTCTGTGGTTCATCAGCTAAAGTGCAAAGTTCACCCTTTTTATGAAAGCCTCTGGTTATCAGGGATTCTAACATATTGTGGTTGGTAGGATTTATTGTTCTCATAGTTTTACCTAGGTTTCAGTTCAAATCTTCCTTTTCATGTTAGAAACAGCAGTTTCATGCTTGAAATGGAACATTTTGCCAACTGTAATGTTGGTACCTTTTTATTACTACTGCATTATTGTTAATTGCTTTTTTTAGTCATGAAGTTCAAGAGTGTCGTTCTATGTGTATACTATTTTTTTTTCTGTTGATCTACTTGAACTTGTTATAAAGGCAGGATAAAAATGTTTTAAATTTTAAAAAACCCTTGCTCTTAATGCCAGTATCTAATGAGGTTTTTAATATTTAATATGGATTTTGAGTGGAGTGCCAAGACAAAAATTAACTATGCACTTCTTGCAGTTTGGGGATACGGGTTTACAAGTAGCAAAGACAAAAAAATGTGAAATGGTACTTCTACTTACCTACTTCTTTGGGAGAAATTACAAGGCCAAAAAAGACAATAATTCCTCCAGCAAACTGTACTGATGAGGTCACCAAGAAGGCATACTGAAAGGGAAAAAGCCAGTGTAGGTATTTCATGGCGGCTCTTGCATTTTCTCATCTAAGTCAAGCAATTAATGTTTCCTCTCTAAGTATTTTATTTTTGCTTGTATGGGAAGTCCCAACATATTTTATTGCAAACCACAGAGAAATTTTGGAAAGTTCAATAAATAAAAACACACAATTCATGCTCATCTTTATAAAATATGACTGGCTCCAATCCGGGTAGAAGGACAATGGCAGGAAGCTCCACCCACCTCATAACCATACTGCAGAACTGAGGAGGCAAGAAATGCTCCAAGGATGTTACCCACTGATGCACAGGCACTCCAAAGTCCAAAAACAAATCCTCTCCTGGGTATAAAGTAAAAAAGAAGATTAAGTTGGGTGATAATTCAAGAGTCAGGCAAAAAAATCATGTTAAAATTCACTTCCCTTAAAGAACATTGCATGCATGAGTTAAGTTTTTACAAGTCGATTTATTAGAAATATCACAAAATTGCTTCTTTAGAGAAATTATGCATATACTAGCTATTCATTTCTGCTTCCTACTGCTACATGGCCACAGCAACAATTCTCAGCTGTTTCAAACTAAATCATTTCATTAGCCAGCCATCCTTCTATCCATCCACACCTGTAAAACAAGGCCAGAACAGAATTGTAATCAAATTTTAAAGATCTAGGAAAGTAAAACGTGAAGAACCTTTTAATGGAAAGGTTTTGATTCAAAGCACCTCAAAATATTCTGGGTAGGATAGTACAGCAAGTGTGTTATTGTGCTGTGTCTTGTGTTTATTTGAGCATACACCACACTTTTCAGAACCAGAAGGGCACAAATGAAAATAACAGATTTAAGAATTAGAGAAGGAAGAGAAGCCATCGGTCGGATATTTTAAAAAAACATTAATAACTGAAGTGCAGCTATTTGAGGGGGAAAAAAGTTAACATGGAAATACCTTGTGATGTATGAGGGGGGGGGGAATCTACACACACTGCCTCCAAATTAAGGGGTGGGACGACCTGGGGATGATGCACAGCATGCAGCTAGACCTTAATGTACAGTTACAGCCCAAGTGCAACAAGAATATACAGACACGTTTTTCTGATCTGGGATGCCTCTCATGATCCTGGTGATAAGTGGTTAAGAAGACAGGAAAGTTATGAGGCACAGTGGCATCAAAGCCAAATATAGCGCCATGCATTTAGCTGCTCTTCAAGTGACTACTTCTAAACACTCTGGAACAGGATGCTCTGAGGATGGTCACTCATGCTCTCGTCATCTCCCAGTCAGATTACAGTAATTCGCTCTACATGGGGCTGCCTTCAAAGACCACCCAGAGACTTCAGCTGGTCTAGAACACAGCAGCCTTCATGCTCACTGGTCAGTTTTGGGACTGCCAAGTTGCATCACTCCTGCAGAAGCTGCACGGAGTGTTTCTGAGTGCAATTCAAGATGCTGGCTGATACTTTAAAGTCCCACATGGTTCAGAGCTTGAGCATCTAAGACACCACCTTTCCCATACAGATTCCCTCCTTTCAACCCAGGTGGCCAGAGGGTCGATACCTAACAGAAGTGGAGTGGGCCCAGCAGTGAGCATTCTCAGTGGCAGTTCCCCTCCTGTGGAACAGCTTGTCCCCTGAGGTAAACATGGTTCTTACACATATCCATAGAGATATTTGCATGCATATTTATCTATACACACATACACACGCAACGGGTACTTCTGTTATAATCCTTTATATTCTTAATAGCATAGTATACTATTTATTATTGCTGTTATTTTAACATCTATAAACCATGAGGATTGAGATGGTGGATAAACCTCATACTTAAATAATCAAACACCTGCAGCCAAATCCTTGTGAAATCTGCTGATTCCTTTAAAAAGGACAACCAGCCTGATGTCCTTATAAACAGGGGAAAGTACGATTTAACATTTTCACCTTGGCAGGAAGGCAGCCCCACAAGCTATGATCACGTGGCCAGGGCCAGCGTGTTCAGTAAGCAAAACAATGTGGACATACAGGCAACACATGATTAAGAGGAAGAGAAGCCTTGCAAAATAACCACACAGTGGAGGGGCAAGCCACTAAAAAATATGCACAAGGGGAAGAAGCAACATTCACATACCCAGCTTTGCCAAACCAGTTTCCCATGACAGCTACCACGCAGGGCCAGCCGGTGGACTGCAACAAGCCGTTCACAATCCACAGGCAGCAGTAGAACCACTTGTTGTAGAAATGCGCCCATTCAGTGACAGTGCCAAACACAAACACCTAAAAAGAAACAGCAACGAGGAGGAGAAAATGTAGTATCAATCCCAAATAAATCCACAATGATTTCCGGCCATGCTCTATGTTATTTGTAGGTTACAAGTTAAAGATTTCTCTATCCGGGCACCTTGAAATGATTTTTGCTCATCATCGGAAACCAAGCAAATAGCTATTCACAATTCTAGGAAGAGGAACCAAATGCTTTCCGAGCATGTAAGGCAGAAGAAAAAATCATCCACAGTTTAAATAAGGACTGGCCTAAAAGAAAGTAGGAATGTCACCCACATGGTACTCCCTAAAAACTCAGGCATTTAGAGACAACGTCTCTATCCAATTACTACAGCAAGAAAACTAATTCTAGTAATTATATTTTTCTATGTCTGACACCGAACTGAAAACTGTATTTTTCCAAGTACAAGCTTCAGTGTACAGAAATTAGCACATCAGAAATTCTTTAAAAAACAAAGAGCATACTGCACAACACAACAGCAACTATAATTTGCAATAAAACAGTTTCAACGATAAGTGTCCCAGTCCACTTCCTGTTTTGCTCTCAAGAAAATGTTGAACAAGCTAAAATCTCAAGACTATTTTATCAAACTAATAAATCATTTGGCTATAGAGTGCAATCTCCAGTACAGATACCATAAAAATGTTCAGTCCATGCTTTCTTGTTATAAAACTGAAGATCCCACACAGTTTCTTCAATGCAATATCTTCATTTTACTTAGAAGTGATTTCTGAGGCAATGTTATAGAAATTCAAAGCCAAATACTACAGGGATAATATATTTTCCCAACTTTGATCTTCTAACTTGCCACTACGATCTTCCAACTTACCACTAAGGCAGAGGAGCACATCCCAAACGCCAGAACCCAGCGCATGTTCAAGCGATCCCCAACAACACCACTAACAAACAGGCCCTAAAATCAGAGGTTATTTTATTTAGTAAGAGTCAGCTGAAGAAAGTTATGATAGCCAATAAAACTGTTATCCTTTTTAAAATCATAACATCATACAATTCAGATGAGGCTGATCTCAAACCCTGTCACATTAATGACTACTTAACTATTGGCTGCCTTTGAGCCCATCATCTCTCAGAGGAGGATGCTGAGGCCCAAGAGGAAAAGCAGCAGGAAAAAACATGCTCAAGGAACAACTTTTTCACATTTCATGTTTTCTGAGAACATGACCAATACAAAAATGGAAAATACTACATTACTGTGAAATATTTGGGGGGAATGAGGTATGCTTTAATATATTTTGCCCATCTTGCATCAAGATTTTTATACAAGGAAAGGAGAGCACTCAAAAATTACTGTTCCTGTGTAGACCACACATAGATTTTTTCAAACTGATGCCTGTCCAAAGTATGGGACTGTCCTGGCACAAATGATGGAGTTCTAACTAAAGTGGAATAGTGGTTAAGTTGTTGGATTGCAATGAGGGGGATTTAAGTTCAAGTCCATGTTCAGTTGTGGAAACTAATTCTCTGTTGGGGTTGCTACTGTAGGAAAAATGGGAGGAAGGAGCACTGGGTATGCCCCCTTGAGCTCCTGAACAAAAGATGGGATATAAATCTAGTAAATAAATAAATAAGCTCATCTAGAAGGAATGGATCAGGGAAGGCTGCCATAGACAGCCTGGAGATTGCTTTCTTTTCATGTCTGTTTTCTGGCACAGCATAAATAATCAGTACCATTTGGTTACACTTAAAAACTATACTGTACAAAATTAACTAGATTTAGGCTGGATTCACACATAGCATTATGCTGTAATGTGGTTTCTTTGGTTCTGGCATACTGTATCATGGAAACCTAATGACTGTATGAATCAACAGTCATTAGGTTTCCATAACACAAACCTAGCCTGTTGCAGCTTATTGAGCAAACTATGGTGAAACAACCCAGTGTTTAGTACCATGAGCTAATAAAAGACAATAAATATAGCCTTCCCAAAAAGTTAGCATAGAAGCTTTGCTCAGTGGTGAAGCTTATACTTTGCATGCAAAAGATCCCATGTCCAATTGTTTGTAGAGCTAAGAAAGGCTCTTGAATAAAAACTTAAAGAGAGTCCTGGTAATTATAGGCAATGTGTAATCCAGTTCCCATCAATCCTAGCAATGCAAGATCCTCTAGACTGAACTCCAGCAGCTCCCACGTATTCTAGCCAGTGTGACTAATTGTGAAGGATGATGGACGCTGCAGTGGAAAAACACCCAGAGTTTGGTAGAGGATACTGAGCTACATAGATCAATGCCTAACCTAGTATCAAGTTATCACTATCTGCTATATTGAATCTGATGGATTTAATCCTCCCTCTTCCTTCACAATTCTAGAGCTGTTCAGAGAAGGAGAATTTGCTCACCACAGCATAAGAGAATAGGAAGATGGTGTCCAACGTTCCAAGGAACAGTGTGGCTTCTTCAGCATTAGGAAATAGATGACTGTTGTTCCAAAGCTACAAAGAAAAGTCAGATTGCTGTAAAATGAGATGGCAAATATGTTGATAATATAATATAGCCTCACACCAGCATAAAAAAGACTAAGCAACACCCCACTTAATGTCTTTCGTCCTTCAGATTCCAGCCATGATTATTTCTAAGGCCCTGTAATCCAAATCATCTCACTAAAGGCTAGGAGATAAAGTGTTAAATTTGTCATCCCTCTCATGCTACTTAAAACACACAGACACGCACCAGTCCTGCCCAATCATATTCATATTAATTTCTAGTAAAAGAGAATTTAAAAGGTCCCCTCTCCAGTTTCATTTCTACAAAAAAGAAAGATTTCCAGTTTCTGAGACAGAGAGGTTCCTCCAACTAGAACTAAGTCTGTCTGGGTTTCTGTACAAAGTACAGTTGTATCCAATCAGAGATCTTTATTACTAGGAACCTTAATTTGCTAGAACGAACTTGACCATTTCTAATGAATGAGTCAGGCTATGTTGCAAAGTGAAAAGAAGCCTGAAAACATTAATTGGCATCTCTAATTTACAGTGCAATATCACAGATACTTGCTTTAATTTTCATAGGACCACCTCCTAAACAGTGAGCATAGAGGTTCTGCTTTTGCAGCAAAAAGGACCACAACAGCTTGCCCCCCTACCTTCTGTTAATGGAAAACTCCAGTGTTTACAGAGTAAGGAACACTCCTAGAAAGCATATCACCAGAAAAAGAAAACATCACACCATTTCCTTTCCTCTAGTTTGCAGAAGCTTAGCTACACTTAACATATCCAGCATTAATCCTTAGTAAATATTTAATGGGGACAAGGTTACCTCTGAACACCTGTCTACATCAAAAACAGTGTGATACTGGTCTAATGAGACTGGGACATGAAACTCAATTCTTCACATTAGGCATAGAGAATTAACGACTTTCCGGATCCTACTGAACTACAATTCCTAGAAGCTCCAGATAAAACACAAAATCAATTCCTTTACTTTTCATTCACATTCTCTTAAGGCCAAAGTAACATCTAAAAATATGTAGCTGCTATGTGTCAGCCCCACGATGTAGATCAGACCAAGAAATCAACTCCACATTAAGACTAAAACTACTTTTATTAAGATTGGCTATAGTAAAAGAATCTTACAAGCCTGATTATGCTTTACCTCTTCCACATCTTATGCTAATGTTAATTAGGGAGGTGTCTGCCTGGGACATTTTTGCATTCCTCCTTCATTGTTTGAGCTGAAGCAATGTTTCCCTCCTTGTTGTTTTGGTAACGGATCTCCCCTCTCTCCATCAAGGTCATCCTCTTTCCTGTCTACATCGTGGATTTGGAAGAGGGATGTCTTTTCCTTCCAGCAGACCCCTTCTTCTAAGCCCCCACACCTACACATCAACAAAGAATTACAGTAGGCTACCACCATTCTGGTTGAATGTTCTGGCACACTTTAGCCTAACTGAGGAGTTACAGAATCTTGCATTCACCAAACCCTAGAAAATAATAGGGGAAGAAATATTTTGGATTTTTCTTGCCCTAAGCCCAGGATGACAGAATTCACTGAAATCCTCTGAAAGGATAGCTAGGCAATTGCATAGTCCTGCATACAAGGAGGTTTTAACAAAAAATTCCCCTGTTAAACAGTACAAAGAGCTAGACACAAAATAGAATCTATTGGGAAAACCAGGAAAAATATGAGAAGCTAAAATGCTGTTTGATTGTTTATGGCTTAATGTAATGTGTGGACCCAGCCGCTGTGCTTTGTAGACCATATATTATGGGTTTTTGAGTTGCATTACCCACTGAATTCATTTATTCCATAAATGATGGTTAAAAATGGTGGCTTAGTAATACTATGCTAATCTGGTCTCTATCAGAAACATGTAATATGTCATATGATGGTCAAAAATACATAAATAAAACATAATTAAGCCGAGTTCAACAACATCTATGAAACAGATTTTTCTAAATATTGCCTCTGCTGGACATTTCAAAACTGCAGAAAGCTCTTATTTTTTGTTATTCAAGCTAACAACAATGACTATAAATAAGCTACAAACTAGGCTTTATTCAAATGCAATAGTGTGTAGTTCTTTATCAACTCACCAAGAAACAGGAGCTATAGCCATAGGATCATAAAACCTCAGAACTGGAACAAATTTGGAGATTATCTAGATAAACTCTGTGCCTGGTGCAAGATCCCATTACTACAACATTCCAGATGGATAGTCATCTGGCCTCTGCTTAAACAGTTCCAGCAAAGGAGAGACCAGCATCTCCCAAGACAATCTATTCTATTACTGAACAGCTCTTCCCACTAAAAGAAAATGCCTAAAGGCCAATCAAAATCTACTTCCTTGTAATTTAACTCACTGTGTTTTGTCCTGTCTTTGGAACATTTTTGCTCTGTCTTTAACGACAGCCCTTCAGATACTTGAGGACTCCCTACAATCCTCCCACCAAACTTCTCTTTTCCAAGCTAAATACAGGTAGTCCTCAACTTATGACAGCAATTGGGCCTGGAATTTCCATCACTAAGCAATTTGGTCATAAAGTACGACCGCATTGCTTAGCGACAACAATCTCTGCAGTCCCAGTTGCCATCAACCGAATCCCATGGTTGTTAGGCAAGGCAACTTCCTGCCAGCTTCCCACAAGCAACTCAGTGGGGAAGTCAGCAGGAATTTGCAAGACCCAGGTGGCTTGCAAGGTCAGCAGACCGGTAAGTGGCTGCTGCTGGGTAGGGGAGGGCACAAGGGGGTGTGCAAAGGTGCAAGGGAGGCATGGTAAGGCTCAGGGAGGGTGCAGAAGGGTGCAAGGGAGGCATGGTGTGAGCGCAGAGGGGCTGGGGGAAGGTGCACGCATGGGGGAGACTTACCCCAGCAACTTGCAATCTTCCCTGCCAGCTTTCCCATTTAACTTTCTGGGGAAGTCGGCAGGAAAGGTCACAAATGGCAATCACGTGATCATGGGGTGCTGCAATTGGTTGTAAGTGTGAGCTGATTGCTAAGCACTCAGATTGTAATCACATGACCACAGGGGTGCTAGGACGGCCAGAGCTCCGAGGCCCGGTCATAACCACCATTTGCTCAGCATCATCGTAACAATCACCAAGTGAATGCTCATAAGTTGAGGACTACCTGTATAACCAATTTCTCAAACTATTCTTTGTAAGGTTTTCCTTCCAGGTTTTTTATCATATTGGTTGCTCCCTTCTGGACATGCTCCAGTTTATCAATGTTCTTCCTAACATGCAGGCCCAGAACTGTATGCAATATTCTCAATGTGGTCTGACCAGTGAAGGACAGAGAGGCACAGTGATTTCTCTTGATCCTGACAATACGTTTTTGCTGATGCAATTTACAACCCGATTTCTGTTTTTTGCAGCTGCATCACACTGTTGCTTTGTGTTCAACTTGCAATCAACCAAGACCCAAAATTCATACCTAGTACTTAATGGCCCACACCCCTCCTACTGTTACTTTAGATTTTTTGCTACCTAAATATTTGCATTTGCCTCTGCTGAATTGAATCCCACTGATTTCTGCCCACTGTTTCAGCTTTTCAGGATCCCCCTGAATCTTGAAGCTGTCTTCCATACTGTTTGCTATTAGCCCCCCCATCTTTATGTCATCTGCAAATATGATAATCATATTTTCTAGTCACTCATGCAAGAAAAGCACATATGCGTTGAACAGCATAGGCCCAGAAACAGCCCTGCACTACTCCACTAAACTTTCTTCCAGCTTGACATTGGGTATGAGTGTTCAACCAATTCTGGATCCATCTAAGGGTAAGATAGTCCAACCCACATTTTGCCATTTTCTCTCCTAGAATGTCACTGGACACTTCACTGAATGCTTTGCTGAAGTCACAGATCCACTGTGTCTACTGCATTCCCACGGCCAACTAAATTAGTCACTCTATCAAAAAAAGGAGATTGGGTTAGTTTAGCATATTTCTCATCCTTTTGATAATCACATGTTGGCTCCCATTAAGCAATACAGAGTTTTGCCCAGCATCAATGCCAAACTGACCCAACTGTAGTGACCCAGGTCCTCTTCTTTCCCCCTTTTCAAGACAGGAACAATATTTGTTTTTCTCCAGTCTTCTGGCATTATGTCCATCCTCAATAATTTCTCAAAGATTATAGAGAGGCTTTAGCCTTTCTAACTCTCTAACTTCCTTTCTGCAGATAATAGCTACTTGCTGGTCTATCTCCATGGTGATTACACCCATGTTCTATTGCGTATACATATCCTTTTAAATTCATAGCTCAGCTGAAAGCTCTCCATGCATCCACAACCATTTCCTGAATTGCCTATTTTTTCTCTCATTGAAATGGTGTGCAATTGTTTTTCCAGCAGCCTATTTTTGAGAAATCCACAATCCTTCTGCAGAGTTTCTGTCCATGGCATCCCACCCAGTACTTCTTTAATCCTATTGACACTAGCTCTTCTGAAATCTAGTATGTGCGTATGACTATGCATCAGTTCCTTTTCCTGTCATAACTTGATCACTTCTTCCCAAGGTTACCAATGGGTGGGTTTTTTTAGATTTTTTAAATCCCGCCTTTATTATTTTTATAAAGAACTCAAGGCAGCGAAAAAACCTAGTACTCCTTCCTCCTCTTATTTTCCCCACAACAACCACCCTGTGAGGTGAGTTGGGCTGAGAGAGAGTACTGGCCCAAAGTCATCCAGCCAGCTTTCATGCCTAAGGCAGGACTAGAACTCAGTCTCCTGCTTTCTAGCCTGGAGCCTTAACCACTAGACCAAACTGACTTTTCAACCAGCTTTTCCAGAGTGGTACATAAGAAACCACATCTCCTTGTCTCTTCTTCAACTTTCTGGAAAATGAAACAGCAAAACCACCAAGAATCTTTGGGGACACCACAGTCTCAGCTGAGTTGCTTTTCCAATAGATGTCTGGGTAATTGATCTCTCTCTGGTCTAGGAAAGCATTATCCAGATTGTCTATCTGGTTTGGTGGTCTTCAGTACAACCCCACAATAATACTTTTGTTGTTTCCCCTTCCTTGTATTCTTACCCAAATGCTCTCAAACAGACCCTTATGCTCAAATTCCTAGTTTTCAATACATATGTGCGCTTCCTTCACATGTGATGCCACTCCTACCTTTGTCTGTCTTTTCCATCTTTCAGGTAAGTTACATCTTTCAGTCCTTACATTCCCCTCATGAATTTTATTCTACCAGGTTTCAATCATTCCTACTAAATCATATTCACCTTCCTCTGTTACAACTTCTAGTTCTGTTTGTTCCTGATACTCTGTCCATTTATACAAACAATGGTATCCTTGTGTCACTTGACCTATTCCTTCTTGTATTTATGTGGTCATTATTTGTCACCTCCACATCCTACATACCCCACCCTGTCCAGTTCCCAGTACTTGGTGTCATATTATTTCCTGAGCTCTCCTTCATTACAGGATTCAGTTTAAAGCCTTCTGGATCAAGTTTGCAAGGCTCCTTCCAAATATATTTTCAAAGTTTTCATGAGGTGCAGCCAATTTCTAACCATGCATCCCCCATCTTGGACTCTTTGATGATGGGTATTGTTTCCAAGCCAGTTCCTTTGGCACCATCTGTATAACCAGTTGTTCAATTTCAGTACTATTCTCTCTCTCTCCCAGGCCTATATCCTTCAACAAGAACAAAGTTCACCTTCTTGCCAAAGCTATCAAAGTATCTTCCAGAGGGGATTATGGTCTGGCTGTATCATTTGTTCCTAAAATGAATTAGTAGGATGACATATTTGTCATCAGGCTTCAAGAATCTTGGGAGCCTTTCAGCCATGTGAGAAATGCCTATCTCTAGAAAAAAAAGCATATTTCTCTTGCCCAACTGACACTGTTACTTCAGTTCTCCTCAGTGAAGAATCACTAATTATCATCACTCTTCACTGTGTTTCTTCAGTGCAGAGGCAGAAATCTTTCCCTTTGCAAAGTCTATAGAGTCTTCCTCCTCAGTCCTTGAGACTTGTGGCAACTGCTCTTTAGCTAGGGATCTAGAATCATCTCAACAGCAAAACCCTGGAATCTATTCTGAAGTTCCAGAGTATAAGAGTATAAGAGCTCTTCCTCACAATATTAAGCCTTCATATTATATTCTTATATCCCTCCATCACCTCACTTGGTTCTCTTTTATCTTCTAGGTGGCTTCTTGGTGCCTAATTTAAGATTCTCTCCTCTTCCCTGAAGAGAGGTTTTACCTCTACCCCCTGCCTCTTCTCATCCAAGAAAGCCTGCACTTGTAGCACATATAATTCTTGCCATTTTCAAAGAGAAAAACAAATACAGCACATCCTTGCAGGTCATCAGACAAGTTCCTTTGACTTCCGTGTAACTCTGATGAAGAAGAAACAACAACAAAGGTCCTTCTTCCTTGACCTCCCTCACCAAACTCTTGCTGGCTTGCTTCCTCTGTAGACTAACGCTCCGGAGAGATCTTCACTTGCTCAGTGCTTTGAAAAATCAGTAAACATAAACACCCTTACCTCGTATGGCTGAAGAATGAAGGCAGAGTCATTAAGACAAGAAGGGGTCCATTGGCTGGAGATGCTGACCTTGACATTGCTAAAGGTCTTTCGGGAGGCATGGAGAAGAGAGTAGCTGGGAATTTTAAAAGGAAGGGTACAAAAAGGAAAGAAAAATTAAACACAAGTTATTACCTAAGATCTACAAGGAGTCTAATAACAAGGCATTATTCTTGCATTTGTGAGTGGACGAGAATTAAAACTTAGTCTCAGGAAGATGCCAGTGAAGCATATAAACTAGGGGAGGGGGGGGATGACTACAATTGTGTTCCAAGTTGTGTTTTAATTTATGGTATCACAATCTTCATAACTTCATAGTGCATTGTGAATTTTCTTGTTTATGGTCTCTGCTGAATGGTATTCCCTACCTTGTTAACATAGCCCATGCCAGAAATACTTCAATAAGAAATTATCTTTGATATCATCTATGCTGTTGGGACTAATGAAAACTGTAGTCCAACACACCTGGACATTCACAAGGGTCCTGATAGATCAGACCAAAGACCTATCTAATCCAGCATCCTGTTTTCCACAGATAGCTATGGAAACCCAGACAGGGTTATAACTGGTAGACTTTTCCTTCATGAACTAAAAAAAGTGGTTAAGATATTACCACGGTTGATGAGAAGCTTGTACATCACATCTGTTCTGCATCAAAATATCAGGTTTTACCATATAAAAGGAACCTTTCAATGCTACTCTCTCTTTTCATCCAAGTTGCCCAAGCATTCAGATGAGTCTCATGCAGGTTCAGCAACAACCACCTACCTGAAGAAAGTGAGCAGGAACACAGCAACATGATGATGAGTGAACTGTGACACAAGGGCCTTGCCTGTAGGCTGCCTCCTCAGAACAGGCATAGCTCCCTTTCAGGTTTTCCCAACTTCTTCCTCCAGCTTTCTTTGCCCCTTAAGGCTGGAATGTAAATTATGTCATTTCTCTTCTCCCTTTTAAAATAAAACAAAAGGAAAATAAGATCAAGGAAGATTGAAACAGAGGCAGCAATGGCAAAAAATAAAAATAAAAGCGCAGTTCCTACTTTTGAGCAAATGTATTCAATCACATATACTTTATTTGACATATCAGAGGCATAAATGTTTCACGTTTACTGGTCATATCAGAAGGGATTTTAATAAAGAATGCTTAAATCTCTATTACTGGAGATGCAGTTAGGGAATTGGATTTTGTAGCAAACGCTGATTATCAAACATACATGTTCCCCTATAAAATATTACACTTGCTCACCTATCTTTTTGGTGGGATTTAAGAGACAAAATTCTTTCAGGGGCTTAAAACTTCCTCCAAAAAGGAAACTTGGTCTGTTTCTTTTTTGAGGGGGAGGGGGGAATTAAACACTGCTAAGGGGCAACATGCAGAAAACATTAAATCTCCCCAAACCAAAAAGGGTCCCATATTCTCAGCCCTGCTGTCTCTGGGAGACTACCTATACCCTGTAGATTATAGGTTGCACAGACCTTCTTGCTTAGTCTTATTGTCACTGACTGGCACAGAGCTCCAAAAGCTTTTCCTGAAGACACAGTGATTGAACTTGGAACCTTCTGCATGTGAAGTGTGTTCCAGAACTAAGTTCTGAACTAAGATGTGGCCTCTCTCCGTATGTACATGTGCCAGTTTTGCATCGTAACTAGGATTATGCTCCATGATATAGGAAGATGGGTCTCTCTCTCAACTTTATTCACTCAGATGGTCATCTACAGAAAATAAAAGAAAGCTCTTAGCTGCAGATGCTGCTGAATTCTTCAAGCAAAGCACATTAATTAGAGCATACTGCTGTGTTTCCATGGTACTGCATGCATGTCTCTGGTTACAGGTTTCAGTAACTGCATGAAACATGATCATTTCTAAGCCAGGAATTGGAGAACTCTGAAGGCGCTGCTAGGACATGTTAGATAATCTGGAGGTAAGAGTAGGTAAACACCTAAGGAATCGCAAGATGCTGACTACTATTCTTCCTATGGTTTATCTGTATTTATCTTATCTTATCTCTCCCTTGACTGGCTAATTCTCTTTAGGAACTGGGAAGGGGCAAAGAAAATTAGCTACTAAGTAGAAAGATAAGATAAAAGATAAGTAGCATCTACAGCTAGAGGCTCCTCCTTTCTGGTATATGCATACTTTAATTCTGTAAACTCCAGATTTCCATAGGTAGGAGAGTCCTTGGACTTCTCAACCAGTGTAGCAGAACTCCTGTCACATGATGGAAACCATCAGTAGCAGCTCTCCTCAACCTAATTTCAAGGGTATCCAATTCACCTGTGCAGAATGAAATGAGAAGAAGAGTGAGCTTCTCTGTGTTGGCAATTCTTCCCAGCAACTGTACATTTGGCATTAGAAAAAGGTTCAAATTTGGAGTTTTTAAATATATACATATACATATATAAATAAAATAGAGGTCCTCCAAGGATTTAGAAATCTTCAACCTTCCTTGATATATGGAAGACTATACAAGAAAAAAAACCCTGCATTCACACAAGCCATAGTATTGGTTGTTTCATCTGGGTTCAAACAGAAGAGTGAATACAGTTAATTGTGGCTCATTTAGTAAAGTATGTTGAAACAAATATGGTTTACAGTATTTTGTAAGCACAAGTCCACATTAACAACAAACACTATTCACTGAAATCATGAAAGGTTTAAATTCTCATTGGCATACAGGTAGTCCTCATTTAGCAACAGTTGGGACCAACAACTCGGTCATTAAGTAAAGCAGTCACTACGTCAAACTGTGACCATGCTCTAGCTTTCCTTTGCTTTACAGGCCTGCAAAGTCATAAATGCGAATATTGGTCATAAAGTTATTTTTATGTTACTTTTTACTTTTTCATCACTGTCGTAATGGTCACTAAACAAAGCAGTTGCTAAATGAGGACTACCTGTATTATATTTGCCATCTTTATTTTAGCATTCTATAGAGAAGAAAGAGGTGTAATCAAGGAAGAGTATAGTCCAAGAAACTCATTTGGAATCTTAGCAAAACAGTATTCCCTCAGCATGCCCCCTCCCATCTTTAAAAAATAATAGAAGGCCACCATTGTACCTTACATTTGTAAAGACAGCTGAGATTATGTGGGGGGCTTTGCAGAAATGAAATTATTATTAGATCTTCCCTATCCTCCAGCACTTCCAGTCACATATACACTACTCCCTGCTTCAAATTTTTCCCCTAAAACAACACTATGAGATAGGGTGGGCAGGAAAAAAGCCAACCTTGGAGAACCTCAAAATGGTAAGTCAAGTCAGGCCTTTTTAGTGCTCAGGTGAAGACCACCACAAAATCCCAAGGCTGCAAGTTAGACTGGGAAGTTTAAAACACACACACACACAGAAGAAGAAGGAATAGCAAATCATTCTCAAATCCTTGCCAAGAAATTTATAAGGGCATGTCTTGCTAGTGAGGAAGGAAGTAATTAACTTTTAAGACAATTCAACTGAAGTTAACATTTCGGATGGCAGCTTCTGTTCACAAATTTCTATATTCTGCACTGCCCACTCTACCATTAGAACTAAATTAATCATGGACATTAAGAATAAGAATTTTCCTTGGATAGCATCAGTTGTATGACCAGTACTGCCACAACTGACATTTGCTGATTAGATACCATGCAACGAAGGCATAAAAAAACTTTGAATCAGTGATATTTTTGAGCCCAGTTATTGAGAGAAGCATCATATTTTTGCAGGATATAAAGCCCTCAATAGTTATCTGCAAAGGTACTATGTACAACATCCCTGAACAAATTGATTAACACACTCTGCAGCTGTGATGGAATGTATCTATGAAGGGGAGGGTGATGTGGTGGATTGCAGCAGAGAGCAAGGCTATCAGGAAGGAGGGGGTGCATTCCAGGAAGGGCAAGGAGACAAAAGACAATGCAGTCTGGAGGTGGAACGTGGGAAGCATAAGAGGTTCAGGATAGCCAGGGTATATCCAGAATCTCCCAGATAGCCAGAATCTCCCAGATAGCCAGAATCTCCCAGGGTATATCCACTAGTTGCAGTAGTATAGATTTAGTTTGGCAAGATTCTGC